TTTCCCTACCCCATGCTTCTCCCTTATGTCTTGCTGAGGGCCATGAGCCCGTCTCCCGACTGCTTGCTTGAATATAGGAACAGAGCCAGAATTCATCTCTAAGCACTGAAACTGGACACCATTTTATCAGTGGCCTAGAATGGGAAATTGGAGCCTGGGATGAGAGAGCTGAATAACCTGAGCTTGTTTTCATTTCATGTTTAATTTCCTGCAGGCTTAGCTCAGCTTTTCCGCTTCTTCCAACAGCCTCCCAGGGTTTTATGGGAGAAAAGGGATCAAGATATATTACTTCTTGCTTTGCCCCCCCCCCCCAAACTTTTCCCCTCCTTCTTCTTCATCTTCTTCACCCAGACTGTGATTTTGCTGCAACAAAATGTGACATTTCCACCTTACTTTCGAGACCCTGCCACATCACAGGGTCACTGTTGGAAAAGATTTCCATTAACAGCAGATTTCTCTGGGGATGAGTGAAGGTTTCTTGGCACTCAGCACAGGGGAAGGAGGGAAGTGAGCAAGCGAAGCCACAGGCTGCCAAAGAGGAAGAACCAATTGGAGGAAAGCAACTGGGAGCCACGTTGTCTGAGTAAGCCTGAGGCACAACACTGCTAGGAGGGAGACTGAAATGTTCCTCATCTATTTGGCTCTACCATTCTGTCTAAGCAAATCCATAGGGACCTGGACACAGACAGCTGACTTATGCCGAGTCAGACCATTGCTCAATGTAGTCCAGTACTGTTTACATCCTTCTACTCCAGACAATTATGCTGCCATGACTCCACTCTAACTGCCATGCCAACATCCAATGTATTCTTGGGATTTACCATTTAGAGAGGAGCATTTAGAATTCACACCCAAACAGCTCTACTACTTCAGCAAACAACAAGCCACAGCCACAAATGCAGTTATGTCAGTTAAATTGGAATATACCAGTGGGCCCTTGGTATGCATTACAATTGGGTTCCAGGATCCTCTTGTTGGTTATTTGTTCAGTTGCTTCCAACTCCTCATGACATCATGGGCCAGCCCATGCCAGAGCTCCCTGTTGGCCGTCACCACCCTCAGCTCTTTCAGAGTCAAGCCAATCACTTCAAGGATACCATCTATCCATCTTGCCCTTAGTCGGTTCCTCTTCCTTTTTCCTTCCACTTTCCCCAGCATCATTGTCTTCTCTAAGCTTTCCTGTCTTCTCATGATGTGGCCAAAGTACTTCATATTTGCCTCAATATCCTTCCCTCCAATGAGCAGTCGGGCTTTATTTCCTGAAGTATGGACTGGTTGGATCTGGCTGCAGTCTGCATCTGCACTAATCTTTGCACCTTGAAATACAAAGTCTGTCACTGCCTCCACGTTTTCTCCCTCTATTTGCCAGCTATCAATCAGTCCGGTTGCCAGAATCTTGGTTTTTTGATGTTTAACTGCAACCCAGCTTTTGTGCTTTCTTTTTTCACCTTGATTAGAGGGCTTCTCAGCTCCTCCTTGCTTTTGGCCATCAAAGTGCATATCTAAGGTTGTTAACATTTCTTTCAGCAATTTTCACCCCAGCCTTGCATTCGTCAAGCCCCGCACATTGTATTATGTGTTCTGCATACAAGTTGAATAGGTTGGGTGAGAGTATACAACCCTGCCGTATGCCTTTCCCAATCTTGAACTAGTCTGTTGTTCCATGGTCAGTTCTTACTGTTGCTTCTTGGTCATTATACAGATTCATCAGGAGAGAGACAAGGTGATTTGATAGCCCCATCCCACCAAGAACTTGCCACAGTTTATTATGATCCACACAGTCAGAGGCATTAGAATAGTCAATAAAACAGAAATAGATGTTTTTCTGAAACTCCCTGCCTTTCTCCATTATCCAGCGGATAATGTCCTCTATGGAAACCAAAATGCAGGAATGCTAAAGTCCCATTATATACAATGGCATATTAAAATGGTGTTCCTTATATAAGATGACAAAAACAAAATCTGACTTTTGCAGATGTTTTTCTTTTTTTAAAAAAACAACCATTCTAAAGCCATAGATTGTTTAATCTGTGAATGGAGAATCTGTGGATATAGAGGGCTGACTATAATGCTATAACTACCTAATGTGAAAGGACCCAGAGTGATGAATTTTTAGTTTCCCTCTATGAGCCTACTTGAGGGCCCTTCCAGACAGCCTCATAATGCAGGACAAAGAAGTTGGTTTTAAAAACATGGTACCTGAAAGCAAGTTCAAACATGGAGGTGTCAGTCCTGGCAAATAGCCCCCTGTCATTCTGAAAGATTTGTTTGTAGCGGATTTTAGAAATCCACAAAATGGATACAGGACATCCACCAGAGGTTTTCTTTTAATTTTTTTCTATTGACTCTCTGAGATAAATTGTGCTATTTTAAATGGTGCATTTTAATATTTAGAAAAATGTTTTTTTAATGTTTATGTACTGTATCCAGGCATTGAATGTTTGCCATGTATATGTTGTGCTCTGAGTCCCCTTCGGGGTGAGAAGGGCGGAATATAAGTATTTTAAATAAATAAATAAATAAATGTGCTGGACCTCATAATTGCTGGTGCGGATATACAAATGTGCACCCAAGCAGATTTCTTGTCATTATTTCTCCTCATCCTAATGCTGCCTTTAGATTTGCCCCATTAAAAGCCGTTTCCTTTTGAGGTCACTTGCCTGCCATCCTGGTGCCCACTGTGTAAATTCAAGCTCTGTTTAATTTCATAAATATAAGAACGAAGGAGTGGTTCTCATGGGAATTGCTTTCCATTTGTGCTTCCATTTAACCACTTGTGTGACCATGGCTTCATCTGTTTACAGCCTTCATCAACTGTTTTGGGATTTTAAAATGTGCATATGTGCTGGAGCCATCTACACCAGCTATCACAATGAAGTCCTGTGTTTTTCCTGAATGCAGGGATATACAGTGATGCAAATAGGTGTTCCTTAACCAGGCCCTGCCAGACCTGGGTGTGTAGGCCCAAAGCCTGCACCCATAGGCCCAGGTGCTTTGGGCCTACAGGTGAAGTGCCCCCCCCCCCCGAATAATGAAAACGAAAAACAAATATCTGACCTCTGGTGATGATTGTGACCATATAAAATGTATTTTGGGTTACTCACTTGTTACATGGTTGAATGTACACCTAGCTCAGATGAGCACCTAGAAATATAATTTACAAAGCATCTCACAGACTTGTATACAACTTTTTGTTCATGCTTATGAATCCATGACACCTTGCTTGAAAGCAGTACATATAAAAGAAACTAGGAGTCTCAGTAAGGTAAACATGACTCAACAGTGTGATGCAGTTGGCCAAAAAAGCCAAGACAGTTCTAGGGATTGATAGGAACATAATGTCGAAATCAAGGAAAGTAGTACTGTCAATATGTTATACTTTGGTCAGACCTCACCTGAAAAATGGAGCAGAAGAATTGTTTTACTGACATCACAAGGCAAAAATTCTCCTTTATCGTCTTGTGACACCAACTTCATAAATTAACATGCTACGCAGACAACTGGCCACTTTAGTGTCTGGGAAGAAGCCAAGGAACAAGAAAAAACATCCTGAGATGTGAAAGCTCAAGTTATGGCAAACTCACAAAATGATAATGGTTCTTCAGGGGAGCTCTTCTGTTCAAGTGCATGACTTCTACTCAGACTTCTACTATTCAAATGTCAAACCAGAGAGATTCAGAAGTAGAAAATCAAACAACACTGCTGTTGTTATCAAACTGGCTATGGAACTGGATTTGAATAACAACTGCTTTAGTTGTCATCAAGAGAGAAAAGATAAGAGGAGCAAACTAGTTAGATCTAGCTACATCTCACATTATCTTTCATCCAATTTAGGGTGATGAGTGTGAGATGTTTGGGAAGTGACAGCTATGGGAGCCTGCAGGATAAAATGGTTAGTGTCAGAATGGCACTTAGGAAGGCCAAATTTAAATATACAATGAGCACGAAACTAATTGATGGCATTTGGGCTAGTCAGAGATCTTATCTTGGCCTGACTTGCTTCACAGGGTGGTTATGAGGATAAAGTGAAGTGGAGCATAGTCATGCATGCTGTCTTTTAAGCCCACTGGAAAAAAGGCAAGCAATTAAATATATAAATAAATAAAGGTTGGTGATTTCTCAGGGGAACAATAAAATAATTGTTGCTGGGGTGTATTGAATCTGGATGGTGATTTGTTCACAGGTTGTCTTTTCTCCTGTTGTAGCTTTTGCTTAATGTGTATGGCAATTGTGGGAATGCTGTGCCCCTCCAGTCTTTCCCATTGGTTATGTTGGCATCAGTTGGAAATTGTAGTTCTACAACACTTGGACAGTTGCTTCAGTCCATAGGATGCTGCTGGGAAAGACTTTTAAGAGGTTTCCCACAATTATAGTTAGTTCTCCACATTTGCTGGGGTTGGGGAAACTTCAAATAAAACGTCTACCTTTTTACTTGAGAGGACAACCTTCTAGGAATTTTTAGGTCCTCTAGCATTCCTCTATAATCAACCCTTGACAGATGCTGACCATAAATTCACACTGGCAGACTGAGATTCTTAGAGAGAACACATCAAATCCATGATCTACAAAAGTTAAATCTACACATATGGAGGGATGTGGTTGGACGATTATAGCTTTATTTTGACAACATCTCTCTTCCCCTTTTCCCACTAGCCCTAGGAGAGGAATCTGACGTTACTTGTCATACAAACAGTGGTACGGAGACTCTGACTCCATGAAAGCAGGACGTCACCATGTTGTTCAGCATTCATGTGAGAGCAGATGTAACATCAGGGATGGAAACCATGTGACCTTTCAGATGTTGCCAGAATGCAGATGTATGAGTTATTTATTATACAGCCAGTAATGGGGGAATCATGTTGCATCCAGAGTACCAGTCCCCTACCTTGATGTTATATTTTCATGGTGGTGGGATAGCTGGGATACAATAAGAGCAATAAATGTGGAAACAGAAGCATGTCTGCTTTCTCTCAAGCTCTGTCCACAGCAGCTGTCCTTACCTGCACTCGTGCCTCAGTGAGGTCTGTCCTCATGGCTAGTTGCTCTCTGGCATAGACATCTGGGTAATGAGTCTTCTGGAAGACCTTTTCCAGCTCTTCCAGTTGATAACTGGTGAAGGTTGTGCGGTTCCGCCTCTTCTTGCCTTTGTTGCTCTCTGAGTCAGTCTTGTCCATTGGGCTGGGAAGGTCGTTGCTTGCCCTCTCTTGAGGTACCTTCACTCCGGTCTCTTTCACGGTGAGGTAACTGCCATCCATTCCAGCAGGATCCGAGCCGGGCTGTAGCTCCGTTTCCCCCAAGGAACTCTCTTTAGCTGTGTAGGAGGAAGAGGGGAGAGGAGAAAGAAAACATCAGGCTGTGGATAAATGCATTAGGCTGAATGGGCTTTATATGGCTGTGGAAAAGACAGGAAAACACATATACATGCTGGGAAAGAGATAGGGTGATAAGGGTTTAAGGAGAAGGAGGTGACTCAGGAGGAGGAAGAGGTATGATATTCTAAAGAAAGGATCAAGACAAGGCCCTTTGGCTTAGGCCATAGAGGAAAGGTGGAAAGAAGCAGCTGGAGACCAACAAAATAAATAAAAGGATTCTGTTTTAATGACTTCGTGGAGATTAGCATTAGACTCCATGCCAGCAGGGATGTGAATTTGTCTTGCTAGTTTTGCTGTGATTTCCTGTACTGAAGCAGATGACTTCATGAAGTGTAACAGACGATAAAGGAGATATCATATGTATCTTATAGACTTTTACAGGGTGTTCCATTGATTACAGAATATTAAACTGAAAACAGTTGAGTTGAGTTGAAGGTTGCTAAGTGACAGCTGGCAAACCTCTGCGGAGTGGGTCCTACATTATAGAATAGACATCCTACATTTGTCTGTGCAAATGCAACCAACATGTAACTGTTTGAGCATTGGACTATGATCCGGCTGGCCATGAAAACCCAAAGGGTGACCTTGATTGAGTCACATGCTCTCAGAAAAAGCCCATTAAAGGCTTCGGATTGCTATAAGATACCATAAGAAGGCACACCACACTAACAAAAAACAACAATCAGATTACACAATGCTACCTGACTATTCACATGCTATGGGGATGTGGGAAGGAGGGAAGGAGAAAGACATCCATAGGAAAAATTTCTTGCCCATGCATGCAAATACATATTACAACACAACATCAATGAATAAACAAAACCTAGCATTAAAGCACCGAATAAAGAAATGACTGTTCTACATGACAATGCTACATGTGCCATTTGAGAAGAATATCCCAATGAATTAAATGGCGATGTAAATATAATTGTAGCTTTACAGATACAAAGACCCCCTTTCTCCTTTAATTGCCTTAATTCTTCTTTAATCAATATTTATTTATTTCACACATTTGTACCCCGTCCTTCTCACCCCTGGAGGGAGACTCAGGGCAGCTTCACAACAGGCAACCATTAGATGCCAACACATAAATATCACACTGTTTTTGTCCTTTTCTGGTCCATTTTTAAATATTACATATCTTAAAGAATTGTAACAAAAGGGTTGTAACAAAATGCTGTGGTAGAGTATCCTCATTTTTCTTTTATTGGCAGCATCTCACTTTCGTACATGCACTCATATCAGACCAAACAAAATATCACCGTGTAGAATCTTGCTCCACTTTAAAATCATTTTGTAGAGGTCCAGGATGTGGTGAGATGTATTAGCTAACTATGATAAGAGAGCCTTGTTCTGCAGGATAATGTTCCATTTATGTTAACAATGTAAGCATACACATAGCTATTCAAAAGTGAGCCCAGAATTTCAATGGAATTTACTTTTAAATCTACAGGATTTAACCTAAAGGCTATTGGAATGCAAATATTTCTTGATGACAATCTTGGGTTTTTTCTCCCCTAGCTATATTTTTAATTAATTGTATCCAATTTATTCTCTGGAGCTAAAAATATTGAGCAATGCGTTTTCCCAACATAATTTTTATCTCAACTACTCTGTGAAGGACATAGATTAGACCGAGAGCTATGGCTGGCTCACATGAATGCTACAGGGAAGGTGGGATTTGATGTGTTATATGATATACAACGGGGAGATATAAATTCAAAGTTCTGGATCTGTGAGACAGCTGTCATTTTGAGCAGTCTAACAAATGAATTAACATGTTACAATGATGTATTGTATCATATCAAGAATTTAAATGTTAAATATGATGGCTGTTTACACTCACAAGAAACAGTGTTTATTGATTTGGCTGCTTTTTCTTTTTCTTATTCAAGTTTCCCTAAACTCAATATACACGTTCCAGTGTTTTTCCTGCTTAAAATAGTATTTCTGAGTTCTTGTTCGTTTATAGATTTTGCTTTTTGTTATCTAGCCACATCTCTTGGCTACACTCTGATGTTGCTCAGCCACAGATGTCTTTATTTTCATTTGTGAAATATTAGAGGATATGGGGGAAGGGTTAGACGTAAACCTTGTGCAATCTGCTTTGTTTTTCTCTGGTGTCCTGCGATCCACCAACCAGAACTTGGTGAACATTATGTAGAGAATCAGTTGGGCAGAAATAGGCTCAGAATTAAGAAACATTGTGCTTTTGAGCATATCCTCAGCCCAACAAGTTCAGAAGTTCTTTGAACTCATTTTCTCCAATGTGTTATTTTTCAGGAACCTAATAAGTGTGAGGATGAGCCAACATGGTGTAGCGGTTTGAGGGTTGGACTGTGACTCTAGATATCAGACTCAGCTATGGAAACCCACTAGATGACCTTGGGCAAGTCACACACTCTCAGCCTCAGAGGAAGGTAAAGGCAATCCTGCTCTGAACAAATCATGCCAAGAAAACCCCATGGTAAATGTGCCCTACAGTTATCATAATTCAGATATGACTTGAAGGCTCACATCAATGTTTTTCGTTTTATTTTAATTCTACCAGATTCTATAGTTTAAATTAATTCTATGGTTAATTTTAGATTAATTTTATATGGGTTGCTTTCTTTATTCTGTGCCTATTTTTAGCCCTCTGTCCTCAGGATTAGCTCTACATGTAGTCAGCGGTGAGTTTTTCACACCCCTATTCAAAATTCGCTCAGACATATACTCCCAGCAGAGATGGATAGGCTGGAGTTTGTTGATAGCTCTCTTAATGAACTGTAGGAGTTGGTAACATGGGGTTCAGGCTACCAGTTATCCAGCAAGAGCAATCTGAAGACCTCCTCCCACCTCATTACAGTTATGTTATTGTTGTTGTGGATGTGTACCTTCAAGTCAGTTCAGACATATGGCAACACTATTCCACAGTTTTCTGGGACAGATTTGTTTAGAGCAGGTTACTATTATCTTTGTCTTAGGAAGATGAGGGTGGGACTTACTGATTACCCAGTGGGCTTCCATGCCTAAATGAAGTTTCAAACCCTGGTCTCCCAGACTAGTACTTCAGCACTCAAGCCACTATACCAGGCATGGGTAAACTAAGGCCCGGGACCCGGATGCACTTACCTCAGGCCCTCCTAATTTTCTCTCTCCTCTTGGCATAAGGAAATGGTAGCCTGCCACATACTTATGCCAAAAAAGATGGGGGAGGAAGACACGCAGCAGCTGAGAGCCCTCTGGAGTGCTCTCAGTCACTGCGTGTCATGCCCTCCTCACAGCATAAAAACAGTGCAAGCAGCCCCATCCTTATCCCAGGAGGACAGCTCAAGGAAGGCATGTGGCAGCTGAGAGTCTGCCAGAGCACTCTCAGCCCATCTTCCTCCTGGCATAATGCCAAGAAGACAGCCCAAGGATTTGGGGAGGAGGATCAGGGCAGTCGCTGCATCTCATGTCTTCCTCCCAGCATAAGGATGAGGCAAGCAGCCCTGTCCTTATACTGGGAAAAAAACCTTAGTATGACCCAGGGCCTAGCCTGCCCCCTCCTGTCCCCACCCTCTCCGAGGCCCTACCCCTCATGGCCCGCCCCATCCAGCATCCAAATGGCCTCCTACCCCCAGGTTGGCCCTCTTGGCCAGATCTGCAATGCGGCCCCAAGGCAAAAATGTTTGCCCATTCCTCTGAAAAGACACCATGGAGGGTGCCAATCTAGCCTCTCTAGAAAAGAAGGTCCAGTGCCTCAGAGCAGCCTCTGAGGATGTTGGATAACAGGGCTATGTACACTCACACCTTGCTCTCCAGTTTTAGCAGGTAAACACTTGAACAAGCAGTAGTCTTGATTTCACTGCGTTTCCAGCCATTCTGCTTATGTTTCTGACTCAAAGTCCTTTGCTTATATCAAGTTGTGGGACTTTGCTTTTAATTCTCATTGAGAAATTAATACATATTTCTTCTAACATATACATCTTTTTGTATTTTTCTAACTGACAGTGTATATTTTTAACTGTATGCATTTTTGCCATTTGCAAAAGTGTTCACAGGCCTTGGGGCATATTTTCCTTTTCCAAAACCCACCACAAACTTCACAAAAATGTGCAGATTTCTGAGCCAGGGGGTGCTTTTTGTCTCCTAAGTTGCAGAAGGATCAAATTGATACTTTTATAGCTATTTTCCCCATTCCTAATCATGGACTTTGAGTGGGGAAAGATACACTTTATTTCCCAGCGTCATTGTAAAGTTCCCAATCTGGCAACCATTACAGCAACATTTTCCAGATCCAGATCTCTATTATGACCCTCCTTAATTTGTCATGCCTACAAGCCATTAATTGGACATCAGCATTTTCAGAAAGACTCTATATGAACTTGGAACGGCATGTTTTGTCTCTTCAGAGCTGGCAGCCAGAAGCAAGAAGAACAATAGCTGGGGAGGAGGTTGGTTGCCATTTGCCAACTTTTGTCCACATAACTTTCTTGTCTGCTCACTTGTTTTTGCCAGTAGTGGAGGGAGTCCATTGTAGATGGGTATGAAAGAATTATTACTGAAGAAAAGAAAATACATGTGTGCACATCACAAGGAAGGAGAAAACAATAGTTCTTGGATTGATCTAACTCGACAGGCTGCAAACCAATTTAAAGAGATGAAATAAGTCAAGAGCTTTCAACAAATGTTGATCTCAACTGCCTGCAAGCAAATAATCCTAGATAATAGATTTACACTTATGGCCTCATGATAGGCCTTGTGCTTTTTCTGCATGGCAGGAGGTTGGACTCGATGGCCCATGTGGTCTCTTCCAACTCTATTATTCTATGATTTTATGATTGCCAACAACTAAATAACACTTCTCCCCCAAATCTATGATTTTACTACACAACATAATCGTGTTGATGGATTATGTGTCAAACACCCTGAGGGCCAACTGGCATTGGTAGGATGCAATATAAGGGACTGTTTT